AAGAGCTGGTGAGTTTGAAAGGGGGAACACTGGGAAGAACTGAATGGATGACGTAATCTCACTTACCGCAACCTCTCAGCTCTGTCCGATGTCTTCACCGATCACAGCTCCACCACCCTGCATCATGTCTAATGTACACCTAACGGAATTTGACTTGTGCGCAACCATAATCCACTTCATTCACTTCTCGGCGCTGATTCCACACGTACGATAAAAAGAGGAAAATTGCGTCGCAGGCCAGTAGCCCAAAAACGAACGCCATGCGCCACGCTTATGAAAGACGTTAAGGAACGTGAGCAATCACAATGGACGTACATTCGCCGGACCAGGGCATCGTTGTTGTCTCAGCTTGTCAGAACGCGGCGTGAAAGTATTGGCTATTCGGGGGCTGTTGTTGGCTACGCCGCGAAAACAACGACAATATATATAACTGAGATGGAAGTGCCTCGAGGCGCGACTTTCGATAACCAATTTCCCACCATTCGACTCTCTCACCACATTCTAACTTACATCGCGAACATGCAGCTTCCCCCCTCGACACCTCTCCTTTCTTCCTCCGCCGTCAAAGAAGAACCTCTTTCACAAGCTCCGAGAAATCCCCCCAGACTCAGTATTTCCCTTGGATCTGGTCAACTTACCCCATGGCTTTGTGGGTTGTTTGCGCTCGTTCGAGTCGCCATGTTTTTTATGTCCCAAGATGGAATGAGCTTGCTGTGGCAAGACTGTGAGTGTTCTGTTTTTTGAGCAATGTGCCACTTATGGCTGATAGTTGTAAACAGACGCTGCTGTCCTGTTGTTTTCAATGCGATGGTTCATGACTCCGGCCGAGACTAAAGTGTTGGTTTTGTAAAGCTGGATCTAAAGGAAAGATACGGATCGTTTTGGACGTCACTCAATCCCCTTCATGGTCGCGTATCGCAGGTCTGCCCGAAATTTCCATATCGGATCCAGCTTTAGAGCTGCTCTTCGAAACTCTACGTATGAATTCGGTGTGTTGGCGTGAAGGGTGGCGCGAAGATGTAAAGCGACATGGTAGACTGTGCCACGCAGATCCCAGTTAGCTCTTCAGCGCCGGCGGCGTAGTCAACGAACAACTCAATGCATTTGCTGGGCCCCTTCACATCTCCACTATCGGGATTTCAAACCTCCCGATTGTCACTCCGTGAGCATATAGCCTCAATATAAAAATGGTATGGCATACATACTGGGAACTATCCTCTTCTCCACCCAACCAAAATTTACCCTTCAAGTTTGTCGTCTTCCTAGTTGCACGGAGCCTCTTTCCAACGCCTTCAATATATCCGTAGCAACCGCCACCAACTCATCATCCGCATTTACTTCCACCACGATCCCATTCTCACGATACGCCTCCGCAACCTTCACAGTCGTTTCTTTAAACACCGTAATACGCTTCCTGATCGTTTCCATATCGTCATCAGCTCGGCTTCGCTCCAGCAGTCTTTTCTCCAGCACCTCATCCGAACACACCAACACGATAATCAATTGCAGCGGACCGACCGTTTTCTCGAAGTACTCTGCCGTCTCGACTTTTCTCGGAAATCCTGCACAAATCAATTAGCTATACTCTCCATATCAGTGATACCAAGAGACCTTCCTACCGTCTAAGAGTATAATCTCCTCGCCTTGCTTAACAAGCTCATCCACCTTCCTCTTCATTATACCAACAGTCATCTCCTTCGTTCCGATCCTTCCATGCTTAAGGTTCTCTTGGAGTATCGCCGCGTACGGACTTTCCGGGTCGTCGGCCTCGCTCCGAAGAAGGTCACCAACGCTGATATGCTCGCATCGATATTGTTCCTTCAGGAGTGCGCATTGAGTACCTTTGCCGGAACCCGGAGGCCCGAGGACTGAGACGAACTGAGGTTTGGGGGTCATGGCTGGAGATTTTGGTATGAGGGGAGTTTGAGTCACTTCACGAGCGTTGAGTGTTTTACTCAAAAAGGTGTTTGCTGGTGTACTAACTCGTTGGGTTCATGCGTGGTGGGACAGGTCAGGCACCGTTGTCGGTGCCACAGGACTGCATCCTCGAGCAAACGAAGTTGTCGACGTATCCCAAATCATGCCGTTGGACGTGTTACTGCAATCGCCTATTATAATTTGCTTGATCGCTCGATCCGATGACGAACACAGTCAAATCCGTCAGATTCTCTCCCATCCTCCTAGTAGCCAAGATCCGCTTCGCGTCCTTATGCGTGAGACCTCTACCTCGCAAACAGAGCCCATATCTCGTAACCGCTCAAGAAAAGCCTTCGCTGCAAACGTGTAAACAGCGGTCAGTAATATTATCCCATCCATGGGTCAAAAATCTGCCAACACTTCCTGCGAGGTATCCACAATCTTTCCTCCTGTATATGACCAGTGCAAGAATTTCTCTTAGAAAGGGTCGCCAAAATATTGGGCCCAACACACATTTGTACCGCCATCGTAGTATATTTCCTCAGCGCAGCTTTAACCGCTCCGAGTATTGATAGCTTTCCTTCCTCAGTGCCTTCCCACCCACTCCAACGCTCCCAATTAACTCGACTCTTCTATGTTCTCTTCCTGTATCAATGAGATATTCTCTCTCAATATTATGTATTCCCACCCATCCCACCACCCCCAGGCAACCCACGAGGGCTGGGTTCACCCGACAACTCCACTCTTCCCACCCCATCCAACTCCCCCGGCGGTACCTCTAGCTCAGCATCATACCTATAGTAACAGACCTGTCCCGCCTCTCTAGCATTTTGTTTATTCTGTCTTTTCCTCATCCAAAAGAACACCGCAGCGCCAACAAGCGCAAGACCGACAATCGACGCAACGACTATAATGGCTACCAGAGCAGTTGATAGCGTTCTCGACCGCTCAGGAGGAGAAGGAGGATGAGGAGACGACGATGATGGGAGTGAAGAGGTCGCGCTGGACTGTATCGGCTGCGACGTCGACGAGGGCGTCGGTGTGGGATTCGTATTCGATGGCGAGGCAGGAGTCGATGTCGATGTCGATGTAATGTCGGTCCTACTACTACGAGATGATGTAGTCACGGCCGGGTTCTCGACGTAAACGGTATTCGCACCCCAACCAGGGCCGCGACAAAGCCAGTTAATCGCAGAGGGGAAGGGCGTTTGGAGACGCGTGGTATATGGTCATACCCACGCAGACCAATTTCTCGCTAGCACCGGATACATCAGCTTTACCTTGTCATGATAAATATGAAAGTCTCAGCGCACCATGGCTGTGCGGAATTATTGTCCCACAAAAGCGTATTCCCATCACATCCGGTCGCGATGGTACACTGGCTGGGACTGTCACAGTCGCCTGCGAAATTTCCCTTTGTTACCCATAACTTGTCTGCGAAGAGTGGCTGAACTACATCGCGGTTAGCCGAATGTTGAAGGGGAATCTGTGGGGTCCAGAGGAGCAGGAAGACTGACTCGTTGAAGGTTGTTTATAATACCCGATGAAATTCGAGCTATCAGAACTTGTCGTACTTTGCCCGACAACGAAATGCTGTAAGTGAAACGCTACCAATACTAAGATCGTGTGTAGCAACATCATCGTCGCCGAAAGTGAGGGAGAGCAGCTAGCTGTAAGGACGCTTCGCATAGAGGTGAGCAGCACACACCCCTTTAATTGTATGTTCTCAGCCTTTTGCCTCGCAGGATCGACAAATTGGGGGCAGACTTTCAAAAATGCTATTGGGCACCGTGGCACTGCGATTGTTCGTGTGGGGTCCATGATGGCCGCAAGAGTGGTAGTTGTGATGGCCGAATAAGCCCCCACTGCCTAAGCCTTGTGCAACATTAGAAGCGCCCGAGCCTAATAACCCACGAGATGCTACTCCTCAGGATAAGAAACAAAGCCTGGCTTTCTTTGAACAATATACCTTTAACGCCCTTCTTAAATGCGAGCGCTTAGCGTTGAGTATTTTTCTTCTCTCGGTTGCAAATCGCCACGGCTTTTCGACTCATCAAAAGTTATCTCCGAGGATCACTAGGCTTTTCTTTAAGCCTCCAATAGGGTCGGTGCTCTCTATCTATAGCCTACCGATCTATGCGGTAAGCTTTTAGCCACCTGAATCTCTGTATTATACGGTTCCCGTTTGACTATATCCCTAAAGCTGTCTTACGCACCATCTCCCTAGGTATTACTCCCCACGAAAACGGTATACCTACCAGTTCCCCCCTTCCTATACAGACATCCAGGTCTTCGTAATCTCTCACCTACGTAATAAAACAAGAATTGCTTCTTCCCAAAGCACCTATTCCAAAACAGCAGCCTGAAAAAACAAGGAGGAAAGGATTATAAAAAAGAGGTTGGATGGTCTCGCAGAGAATCGAACTCCAGTCTCTCACAGCACCCAAATTCGCCCCTTCTACCCACTGGATTCTTGAAAGGCTCGACAATTCTTGAACTAGGGGCTTTGGCCAAAGACTTGATATGCTTGATGAACGTGCCAGAAGTTGGTATCGGGGGCGAAGTATGTTTGGCGTGAGCGTCTTAGCCACTGGACTACAAGACTTTGAATTTGGCTTTGAAATCTCTTTCTTCACGAAATCCTGCGTCTCGACGTCGAGAACATGGGGGTTTTGGAATATGCTTTGATGTTACAGCGTCAGGAGTGGAGTGTTTGGCGTGGGCGTCATAACCACTAGACCACCCGTCCTTAGTGTTTTGATGGAGATTTTGTGCGTACAGTGGTATATATACGAGGAGTAAAGTCCCAGTAGGTTGGGGAGGGGAAGTGTGAAGATAGGACGGGGTAGGCTAGGGCGGGGGAGGGTTGAAGTAATAGGATAGGATGAGCTTGAGGGAAGTAGGGAAAGCGCGCTTGTGTCAGGCATGGAAACCGCGTACCGATCCTATTACCGTATCCACATCTCGCACACAAGTAGATATCATCTGCTTCTTTTTCTATTTGTAAAGACACACGCTCGGTAGTTTGGTATATGCAGGACTGTGTATGTGTACTTCTACTGCATGCACATGAGACTTCGGGAGGTGGGATGGCTCAGTGTTAGAGTGTTGCAGCCCCGGAAAGCTTTTAAGAGAAAGCGTAGGTTTAAATCCTACTCTCATCACACAAATAACTTAACAAAAGAATTTTAAGGCTCTCTCTGCACCTTATATATGCTTAAAATTTACTACCCCTTATCTCTCTCTTTAGCAAGGCGACTATTGCTACCTATTTAAGCTTACATAGTTTTCCCTATAAGGTACGGGCATATCTAGTCCGCTACTAAAGCGCGGTATAGAGGGAAGAGAGCATAGAAGTAGACCTAGGGGGTAGAATAGGGGGGAGCATAGCACAGCTTAACCAGGTATCTAGGGACCTATAGGTAACTGGCGTCTTTTAAAGGGAGGAAAGCACAGGCAGGACAAGCTCTCTACGGGAGAGTAGCTACAACAAGAAATGCCCTTATAAAGTGCTCAGCACATCTATTATGCCCTATAGGAGGCTCTATGTAGATAAAGGCCCCGGCCAAATCAATAGGATGAAATCAATACCAACCAACCAATAAGACTTGGGGAACGTTCCCTGCTTACCTTACCCTAAGCTTCAGACGAAGACGTCCGTTCAATTCTATCCGTATGGTTCCTGTTATTCTTTTCTCTCTTCCTTTTTTGGGGAAGAATGGGAATAAGAGCCCCCTTGTAATAAGCCGGATAGCGGCGGGGGGGAAGAATGGGTTTCGTACCTAGATAGCATCGAAGATGCCTTTCCAATAGCACTGTTAATGCTTGTAAACCACCTCTTGGATGACGTTAATACGTTAGCTCTACTGCTTTGCTATATCCCAAGACTAACGCTCCACATGAGAACTCTATATGTGGAGAAAATTGAGCAGTAGCGAGAAGTCAAGCAAGCAAATAGTATCATGTGAATGAAGAAAGGATATGTATTGCAACCCTCTCAGACCGAGAGGACGGAATCGTTAATTTACCTATCATACACGAAACTGCTCGTGTATTTTTAGACTTCTTCCCTCCATGCCCTACAGAAACAGCATAGCCGTCTAATGATGCGATATCATGCAACGCTCAAGCTTGATTCGAGGCCCGGAGCGTTCGGCACCTAGACATATGCACATGTCCATGCCGGATTCTCTGTACCCCAGACTTTTCCCGCCCTCGCGTCGAGTTCAGTCGGCTTGAGTAGGAAGCCTCCCAGCTGTTCCATGCCATGCTTTCGCGATAATTTGAGCGTAATGAAGGTGCAAATAAGCTGCGCACTATGATGCTGGGCTTTCTTCTGGCGTCTTACGCAATTCTTCCTCCGTCTTGTCCTCGGGAGCAAGCTCAGTGTCAGCTTCCGAAGTGGCCTCCGCAGTGGCTTCAGGGGCTGTATCTACGGAAGCCTCCGGCGTTGGCTCAGAAGCAGATACTGTGGCAGCTTCTGCGGCCGCCTCCGGTGTTGTTTCCGCGGCGGGTTCAGGAGCTGCCTCGGTCGCTACTGGCGGCCGTGCGGGAGACTTGCTTTTATTCCGAGCATTCCTAGCAGGCGATTTGCTCGTTGTCCGCTTTTTCTTATTCAAGATAGCTCCCAGCGCCGTATCCATGACATTCGTAGCCACACCAGCCTGTAATGCCGGGGGAGCCTCATTTTCATCCGGACCATCCTTATCTTTCAAAATCACACCATTTCCCTCGTCGCCACTACTGCTCTCGTCTGTAAGATCAGGACTGTCCAGATTCTGCAGCTCTGGACTCTTCATCATAATGCCTGGGCTCTTTAGATCGTCCATATAATTCGGACCGACCGAGACTTCCGATGCCGTGCTCTGACGCTTTGCGAGTGGACTTATGCCTTTCGTTCTGGCGGGCTTGTATCCGATTGCGGCAGCTACGGCAGCGGCTTCATCCTCTGATGCTTGGCGGGAGTCTTCGGCGTTGAAAATGTGGCCGTCCGCGTCAAGGAGGGGTCCACTTTTCTCTAGGAGATCTTTATAAGCGTGTCTGTTGGGATCCAAGGCACGCTTGCTTCTCGCTTTGTCGCGCTTCGATGATGGCCGGATTACTATGACCGGCACCGGTGAGTGCTGCAGACAGTATTTCGAGACGGATCCGGGAAGGAGACCTTGAAAGCCACCCAAACTCCTGCCTCGAGTCCCTACGACTAGGATTGCAGGCTCGTACAGATTGATCTGCTCGCATGTTAGAAAATACCCTCGTACTCCCATATTGTTCAATCTTACCATCTCATCAATGACCTTGTTGACCTTGCCCACCGCAAACTCTAGCACCAGATTAATTGCCTTATTCTCATGATTTTTGTTCTGGATCGTCTTCATCAAGTCCTCCGCTTGAGACCGATACCGTCCCTTTTCTACACTGCGCTCCCCTGCAATCGTATCATCCTTCTCCACGACTCTCAAACACACAATTTCATCGCCATCGTCCACCAGCTCGTCAATGAGCCATTGTAGCGCATATTCCGAATAGTCATTGTCATCACAGCCACACAAGAAGGTCCGTGAACGTTTAGTATACTCATAGTCCTTGTGTTTTGTGACGAGGGTGAAGGAGTTCTCTTCGATAAAATCGACGGTCTGGCTGAAAGTGTCGAAGGAGACGCGGGGTTGGAATACGCTGTGCAAAAGTCAGCATTGGATCGTGCAGAGGCAACTGTGAGGAACATGAGAGGCGACCAAGCCTGGTGCTCGCTCTGGAGCTGCCCGCGTGCGAGAGACCTACCCCGACATTGCGAGGTGCGAGGAGGAAGGGAAATCGGAGTGCGCGAACGGCACAGCTGGAGAGAGGAACGTGTCTTCTAGACTTGGGCATCTGCAGCTCGTGCATAGAAGGAGCCAATTCCAAGGCAGTACTTACGGCGGTGGGGGAGGCGACGAGATGCGTCGCTTAGGCTTATCACGCTTTGGGCTTCCCCGTGGAAGTTGAGAATTCTTGTGCGAGGCAAACTGGATGGACGGACGGCGCAGCTCCTGCTCGCTCGTAGAGAGCAGCAGCGGGCTTGGGGCTACGGCGGGCACTGGCGTTGACGTCGGACGGGATGGTGGACTGTGGGCCGCTGGAGAATGATTCCGTGGTGCGCTAGACCCGGGCGAGACGCTCATCCTGGAGTGTAGAAGAGGCGTCAGAGGCACGAGGACACGCACGTAGGCGAATACAGTGGCAGGAAGATTTCGCCTGAGGAATCCTGGCCCGTAATGTGCGTTTCTTGCTGGCGAGTGATGATGCTGTACTTCGCTTGGCGTGAGCTGCGCGATGCGAGGCGCGGGGTGTGGGTGGGGTTGGGCTGCGTGGAGGGATGCGAGAGGCGGCGCTGGAGACCGGATGGGGGGAGAGTTGTTTATTGTTTAACGGTACCGTGGGGAATTCGCTTCGTTTCGCAGGGAGAGAAGATCAGAGGGGGCACGGAGTAGTTGCAGGCTGAACTGAGGTCGTCCTTGGCTTGACGTGCCATGCCGCTGCGCACGACGAGCCAAACAGCCGGCAAACAACCCTGGAGCTGGGCGGCTGGAGCGTGGACCTGCACGTGAAGGCTTGGCTCAAGCTGGGTGCTACATACGTAACATCCATGGATTTAAACATCCGGACTGTGGTCAACTGGTGATGATGGCAGGGCGGCTTAAGGCTCTATTAGGGCCCGCGCGGGCCGCCCGTACATTCGTCAACGACGTCACCTGGAAGTTGGAACGCAGCGCTTCTTAGGTACCATCATATGTCAAAAGCCATGCAACGCTTCCGTGTTTCCCAGACGCCCAGCTAGCTTATCAATAATTATTTCTACCACTGGAGCAAGCAATGACGATAGCAAGAAAAGGAAAGAGTCATCGTTAAAAAGCACAAAATGCCTACTCAATGCTTGATCTAGAACAATCAAGATCATCAAAGCTGCAGATGGGGGCCGACGCCGACTCCAAGTATCCCAGACTCTTGCATATGCTGTGCCATCGTTCGTAACCTCCCCCATCCTCGTGACGTCCAACATACCGCTGTGGCCAATTGCCATTACCGCGTCTTTTTGATTTCAGTCGCCCACCCCTCAATGCCCTCTCCTTTACTACCCACCGGTAGCCCCAGACTCACATTCTCCATGCCCTTGGTGTCTTTCAAAAATTCATGCCCGGCCATTCCACCCGCATTTGCGCGATCGACCGGCAGAAGCTCCAACATGGGCAAGAGGAATTCGGCAATCTTTTTGCTTTCTTCAGCACCGAAATGATACTTCTCGTGAAGAACGTCCGGCAGCGCCCAGTGGCGTAACCGATGGATGTTACGGAGCTCGCCTTTGCGGTTGAATATTTCTTGCGACCATTTGCCGGACATGCAGAGTGATTTGGGGAAGGCACCAAGGAGCTCGATGATTTGAGCGATGTGGTCGTCATCTTTGCCGTACTTGGTACCTGATTGCGGATCGAAGAGATAGTCGCCTGTTATCAATTCAAAGACCTGGAACCGTTAGCCCTGCAGATACACCAGTACCATGATTTGCATACCATTGCGGCCATACTCCAGACATCGGTGCTTGCGCCCCACTTGCCACCTAGGATGACTTCTGGGGACCGGTACTGTCTGGTCTGAATATCGTTGGTGAAGTGATGGCCAACCCAGCAAGCGTTGCCTAGATCTGCAATCTTGACGGAAATTTTCTCAAAGGCGATATCTTCTGTGGGCTTTTCGCCTGGCGATTCGGTGTTCGAGGAGGGGGTACTTGACTTGTCCAGGCTGATGCCCGAAACCTCCTTGGTGAGAAGGTCGCTACATTTGATCAGCTTGATTTTATCTAAACGAAGACAACAACTTACGCAGACTTTTCTCGCTGTTTCTGCTCGTCTTCTTCGGTAGACGCCTGCTTGATGCCGAGACGTTCGGCCATGGAGAGGCTGGGGGATGGTGACGAAGTGCCTAGTGCACCACTCATTACAACGCCATCCTGTGGAGGTGGGCTCAACCCAGAGACAGGGGATTCGTTACCTTTGGCCTCGTTCATTACCTTGTTCAGACTCTGGGCGCTGCCGGGGAAGTGGGCGAGGTCGGCGTGGTTGAAGCTGGCATTGAGCGGACTGGGGAGCGGTTGGCTGCCCGTAATCAACGTTCTTCGTCTCCGCCTGCCATT